ATCTGTGTCCTCTCTAGATTTATTAATCATGTCTTGCACCATGAGCAAAATCTTTACTGTTATTTGAGTAATTATTTCTGATTTCATTTTTCCCAGATCCTCTTTTGTTGTCAGTTCAGAGAGTCCAGGTGGTTGAGTATCAGATAGTTCCATCTCATTTCCCTTTAGGGTTGCTATAAGTGATCTGGAACTCTGTTTTTGAGGCTTGTTTATGTGTATTCTCATTTCCACGGGGTGGGGGGGGTGCTTCTGTTGCCCACATGGCTCACCTTCTCTGCCCTAGGACCTTGGGATGGCAGCGGGGGAGCTTCCCTCTGGGTTCTGGGACTGGCTCAGCTTCTCTGCCCTAGGAGCTTGGGATGGAAGCGGGGGAGCTTCCTTCCAGGTGCTGGGACCAGCTGAGCTTCTCTGCCCTAGGAGCCTGGGATGGAGGTGGGGAGCTTCCTTCTGGGTGCTGGGACTGGCTCACCTTCTCTGCCCTAGGAGTCTGGGATGGCAGCAGGGGAGCTTCTTTCCGGGTGCTGGGACCGGCTGAGCTTCTCTGCCCTAGGAGCCTGGGATGGCGGCAGGGGAGCTTCCTTCCAGGTGCTGGGACCGGCTGAGCTTCTCTGCCCTAGGAGCCTGGGATGGAGGTGGGGAGCTAAGGAGGTGAATCTTAAAGGAACAAGTCAGTATAAAATCAGAGTCTTTTTGAAGAAGAATGTCCTTTAAAACAATATATTTAATAATTAGCCAATGAAACATATTTGGTATGATAATTTTATACACTAACACTCAATATACCTATAATTATATTTATAATTTATCAGATATTATCCACATATATTCAGCTTTCTAAAACCTTTGGAATCTTCCAGAATTTGTATTCATCTCTAAGGCAATGATAACTATTACCTTAGAAAAATATACTTCTGAATATATATTTCTAAAAATGTAAAAGATACTAAAAATTATCCCACTGTAATATTTCCAACATGGTGTCCTGAGGAACACTAATTCAATGAAATCCTCTATGAACAAAAGGGTTCATGATCAAATAAGTTGGAGAAATGCTCCACGTTATATCTTCCTAAAGATTCATAATATGTGCTTATTAGAATATGAAAGCCTAGGTGAAGTTCTGCAAACAATAAGCCTGTTTTATGTTGTTTGACCTAGTATTTTCCAAAGCCCACTGATGGCCATTGGCTATCATTTAAGTATGTGTGTGTCTCTCTGTGTTTTTGTTAGAATATCTATTAATTATCCCCTAGAACAGTATTCTAAGAAGCACGTTTAAGGATAAACTGCTGCTCTATCATTTCTGTCATTTATGGTAAATTATTTCTTAGCACATATAATTACTAACATGGTTACATGGCTTTTAAAACAATTTATCTTACTGAGATAAACTGACATTCTCTTTCAAGTTAGTTTGATTACTGCTAGTGGTAGTTCTATTGTCTAGAACAGATGGTGATCTCTATCCTGATTAAAAATATAGTTGTCAGGAGTCAAAAACCTGATGTTCATGTGATTCACCAGTAACTTGTTATTGAGTAATTTAACTAATTTGTCAGTATCTTGAAATTGAGTAATGACTTATAGCATATATTCAAAATGCATCACTTCAGTCCTGGATGCCATTTGTGGGTATCTGGCCTTCCAAATTTGGAGTCATACACACACACACACACACACACACACACAACATCATCATCATCATCATCATCATCATCATCATCATCATCATCAGAATCATCACAGGTGGGTTCCATCATGCACTAAGAGCTACATAATTCAAGAATTCTCTTGCATATTTGGTCTTCAACTAATGGCATCACTTGATATATTTCATCTAGTGAGATTTAATCATAGCAAAACCATAGTTTCTAAGTTATCATTAAAAAATATTTAAGGATTGACTAATTATCCTCCCCTTAGATGATCTGCAGGACTAATTTTTGAAAAAGTTAAATAAATGAATGTTCTAGAAGAGTTAGAAACCCTCAAACAGGAGAAAAACTAAGGCACACAAAGGTTAAATGACTTGCAGCAGGTTAGACAGCTTGTGAGAGCAGAGCCAGAATTCATAGAAGGACAATTCAACTCCATAGCTCAAGGACTTTGCTATTGAGCTGTACAACCACAGTGGATTAGGGGAATCTGTGTCTGATCAACTTTTAATATTTATGTCCTAAAGTCATAATAAATGCTGCAGCGCTCTTTGGTAAATGGATGGTTGATCAAATATAGATACTATTCCTTCATTACCAACAAGAAAACTGAAGTCTAAATAACAAGTTAAGTGATTCAAGGTTGTAATGTTAGTTATATCAGGACTGGAGCTCTTGAATTCCATGGCCCTTCCATCATGTTAAACAGCTTCCCTGGAGCAGAACTTCTTGTGATTTGTGCTGACTGGGCAAACATCCTCCTATATGAACCATCAACCTCTCCCATCCTCTCCCATCAGATCCCCCCAGTTTCCTGAGAAAAGCACTATTTAGCGAGCTCACAGACATAGACACAGCGAGGGAGAGGAGGGCAAACTTCTCCCGAACATACCTGCAAAGCCCAGCATGGTCAGCAGGGCCACATCCTGCCCTGGGAGGCGGGAACGTCCATCCTTTAGAACCAGAGTGAGATTGGGGGCTTTGGAATCACAGTTGGTCTCAGACAGCCTGAGCACACTTTGTGTGGCCACAGATGGAGTGGACGGCCGGCAGGTTATGTCCATGGTGTTTCTCAGAGTGTGAGCAGAAGACTTAATGTAGTTTCTTAAAAAGCGAGCCAAGGGGTGCAGGTCACAAGTGCAGCTCCATTGATTACTATCTAAGCTCAGAAGGCTTAACTGCTTCAGTGGAGTAAAAACATCCGGCATGTGGGCCAACCTATTACGAGAAAGGTCCACTTCCTGTAGTTGAGACAGAGACCGGAAAGCATCTTTCTCAATGTAGGATATGAAATTGTTAGATAAATCCAGATGCCTGAGGCGGTGGAGATTCGTGCCTGCAAAAGAACTGTCTGTGAGATTAGTAATCTGATTGCCATCCAGCTGGAGCCGGGTCAGGGCCCTAGTGTTTCGGAACCAGGCCCCTCGCAAGCTGCGCAGAGTGTTGCTGCTGAGCACCAGCACCTGCAGGTGGCGGAGCTTGCCGAAGGTGTGGTCAGCCAGAGAAGAGCTGGATATGCGGTTGTGGCCCAGCAGCAGTGTGCGCAACTTAGTCGGGCCGTACAGGGCATCTTCCTCAACCTCCTTGATGCCATTTCTGCTCAGGGAGAGCAAGGCAAGGTTAAACAAGAGAGACAGATTTGTGCTGTCTACAGAGGAGAGGTGTCCATCGGTGATGACTAAGACCCTCGTGGTCTCAGGTGCTGCTGTGGAGGAGAAAAGCACAGACTAGAAGCGGACACACAGGAGCGGGAGGGAGCATGGTGCAGAATGGAGGGAACGAAAGCCCTCAAAGCAATCATCACCTGGCTGAGAAAAACAAACCCAGTGAAAATGATTCTCTGATTTCTAAATTTCAGGGGAAGCTGCTATCTATTAGAATGATGAATTTTTATATTCTTTGTTACTGTGACATACTCGTTTGAGATGTCACAGTTAATTCATTGTTGGGGATTCCCCTCCTTGATGTTATTACAAAACTGGCTGAGGTCTCCCCCTCCGAGGCTGTGTAGTGGCCTGATTCTGCTCTGCTGTTCCCCCACAGATTCGTGAGGAGCAGAGCCAGATCGGAGCTTCCTACCCAGTTCTCCACTAGTAATGTATAGTTATTTATGCGGGAAAGTCAATCATCTCGCCTCTCAAACATAAAGGAGGGGTGTGTGAGAAGGAGCGTTGGTTTCTGCTTTTTAGCTCCAGGCTAAAAGTTGGCAGCTTGCTAAGGATCTATATTCTCTGCAGACAACCGGAGGGCCTGTCAGTGGGGTTCTCATTACAGTGAGCGCCATCTTGCCCTCCTGTTGTATATCTGTTCCCTCCCATGAAGGCCATCGTGTGATGACAGGTGGTACTCAGCGCTTCCAACTGTTAAATCCCTTCACCATAATCACCTCAGAGCTATGACTGCTCTGTCATTAGAAATCAAAGCGTTTTAACTCAATAAAGATGTAGTGTAATCAGGAGTTATTGTAACATGTCTTTATCATGCTAAAATTGTTTTGACTGCAAATGACAGTGTCATAAGGATGGAGGAATCCATTGTCCCTGGGAGGTCTACAGGTGATATTAGAACAGTCAGCCATGGGAGAAACAACTCACTATTCCCTTAGGAAATTCAGACTGCGTAGCTGAGACAAAGAGCTTTAAAAAAATGTAAAACACAAAAGAGTCTCAGAGTGCCTTCTTTTGGAAGAATTGCTTCTATCCCTGCAGCACAAGAAAGCTTAAATCAGGGTTATTTTGTTTTGGCTTTTGCTTTTTTTTCTTAGCATTTTTTATTGATCATTTGAATTCTATTAATTCTGGCTAGTTTGGCATTTTGTTCCTCTCATCATTGTTTTTGATATGAGATGAAGGAGTTTTGTTTTTATGGGTCCCCAGTCCTGTAGGGATTTGTTGGCTCTGAATGAGCAAGCTATTATTTCTGTCAGTTACTCCTCATCTAAAACTAACAGAAATGCTACTCACAAGTCATGCATTTACTTTTCTGTGTTTATGAAATATAACTTCACACATGGAATTCTGTGAATGAGGAGTTTATAGAGGTGCAGGGATGTAGTTGAGAAATATTTGTTTCTTACATCTCTCTCTGATCACACATATCCACAAAATTTAGTGAAGTAAGGAAATCCATGTTAGAGGATAGGAGTTTAGAGTTAAAATGTTCTCAATATTATGGGGAATAGCATATACATCAACTAGCCTTGAAATCTTTTTGCTCTCAGGAATGATGCTATCTACCCCCAAATTCTCATAGAGTCTTGGGATTTTAGAAATAAAAGAAATTATCTTCTCCTCCTTTATCTTAACTCAGTTTTGTTTCTGAAAATTTTCCATTGGCAGAGCTTATAGCTTGTTTATCTCTTCCTGAATATCAGGATGTAAATCACATTCTCCTCAAATTTGTTAATAAGGTGTCTTATTAAATTGTTGACTTAAGCAAGCAATATGTAATGAATACAGGCAGTGTATCTTGTTAGCATTTCTACAGCTCATTTACCACCAATAAAAAAAGACCAGACTTTCAAAATGAGATGCAGTTTGATAATAATCTGTTTCACTGTTGCATCACTTAATCTTACTAATGCTGAACAATTGTCGTTCAGGTCTCTGATTCATTTGTATTTCTTCCAGCGAGTAGTAGGGTTCAAAGCTGTGCAAAGTATGCACAAAAATAGAGTGAATCTATTTTTTTTTCTTTTTTAAAATTATGTGCCTGCATGAAATGGTCATATTTTTGACAACAACTGTCCCTCAATTACCTCCGAAGGTCTTAAAATCATTTAAGAGTCCACCAGGAACAGAAAAGCAAAATAATGTTGGCAGTCTCCTCAGTCAGTGTGAAAGGCCTGGTTTTTAAAAGGTGACCTCTTCAGGCTGAGCCCAAAGAGCAGTCCACACAATGAAAGGTGTAGCAGTGACTTTGCCAGCTACATTGAACAGTGACTTTTAGGCTTATGAGTTTTATTACCTAAGACATAGGTTAGCTGATGACAGAGGGTTACGTCTCTGGCGCACACCACACAAGACGGAGGGCAAGCTGCCACCAGCCTCAGCGTGATGGCAAAGAGGATGAGCCATCCACCTGAAAAGAAAGGAGAGGGCAATGCACATCATCACGCTGACATTCATTATTCATGACTTCAGCGTATACAGCTCCTGAGGCATTTTGATGACTTCTGCCTTTTAATGAGCGCGTCAGTGTTCTCACCAGATGCCAGGTAAATGACTAACATCCTTACTTTGCACAGAGTTTGACATGAAATGTTAAAGCATACGATCAAAACCTTGGTGAGTTCACATCCAAGGCATAGCCATTAGTGCAGATTACTACCCAAATTAAGTTACTTTGTAAAACACTTTACAGTTTGTGATGTTTTCCAACAAATATCGTCTTATTTAGTTCTCTAAATTCTGCTATCCAGTTTAAGGCTAAGTAAACTTATGCTCAGGATGGTTAATAAAGCAGCCAAAGTTGCATAGCTAGTAGGAATTTAACTGAGTCTTTCACTTTGCATCCTATATTCTTTCTCAAATGCACAAGCTAATCTCAGGCACTGATTTTCACATAATTGCAACTGAATTATTTTATTCCTAAAAGATTTAGATGTCACACTTGGGGAGAAAGTATGAAAGAAGATTAAAATCACAGGTTCTGCTTAGCTTTGAATTAGCTCTGTTATTTACTGATTATAATGTCTTCAAAAATATTTTATTTTTCATATTTTCTGCTTTTTCATGTGTGAAATAGAAATAATAATAAATTCCTCCAGGACATAGCACTGTGAGAGTTAAATGAGATGCTCTAAGTGTCCAGTAAATGTTGAATTTTACCATTATTTTTATGCTTTTTCAATCTCACAATGAAATGGAAACATGATTTACATTTTAGTTCAAAAATGACCATTCATTTTTAATGTATTCCTTGGCTGATTTTAAAATGTAAGGAACAGACTGTAATAAAGCCTTCTATCCATACAATATGGTAGTTTGCAAACAAAACAAAGTGTAAAGAAAATATAACATTGTCAATTCTCTCATTGGTTCAACAAGTATTTTTATGCAGGTACCTTCTGTATGTGAGGCACTGCCCATGGTACAGAGGATAGACGTCAAGCCCCTGCCTGCATGAGTGTACATTCTATGAATGGATATAAACAATTAAAAAACAATAATAAGTATTAAGACATTTAGTGATACGTGATGCCATGGGATGAATAAATATAACAGAGAAAGGAGATAGCATTAGTGTGGGGGAAACACTCTTTGATAAAGTATCACTTAACATAGACCTGCAGAAGGGAAAGATGCCATGAGCTCTGGAGGGGAGAACACAAGTGTAGAGTCTCCAGCACATGGTAGGCTTGGTGTGTGGAAGTTGTTGCGGCCACAGGAGAAAGAGTGGGTCAGAGAGTAACAGAGGCAGATGGATGTTCACTGTTAAGATGAATGCAAGGTCTTCGGTTCTTTATCCAAGTAAGATGGGAAGTGACTGTGGGCTTTGCGAGTGGCATTCCTTGATCTGAAGAACATGCTTAAATGATCCTGTTGACTACTGTGCTAGGAACACACACTTCTAAAGAAACAAATGGAAAAACATGGAAGGCAGTTGTAGTATTACAAGCAAGAGATGATGTGTCTCAAACAAGGATGACAGGTAGGCAGATTCTGGATGAATTTTATTATCATGATGCAATTTATTTAGCAAATCTGAGCTCGAATAAGCAATCTGGGTTTACAAGAGTAAATACCCAATGCTTATCCTTAAACTACTTTTTAGTTAGTGGGATAGTTATATAAATACCTCATTATAATCCAAGGAAGAATGAAATCGATCTAACTAAAGATGAAAAATTATTTTGTGGACTCAAGAAAGACATGGCTAGGGAATTGGACCTAGCAAAATACAGTGGATTTCCATAGGCTGTGAATAATTGTTAGGCAAATCAGTCTGAGAAAATAGTAAGAACCCCGTGGGCAGCAAAGCCAGTCTCCGCTCATTCCCTTTAGTCCTCCTACCTGGGCTACTTAGAATCTGCCCCACATGTGTGAACAAGGGCTAATGAAACAAGGTGATATATGTTTAAATTTTTAAAAAAATAATTACTGTAAAGGACATATGGCCATTAACCCCCTCAAAATACTCTCTCTTGCTTCAGACACAGTTATGCCATCCCATCATTTTTGTCACCTTCTGAAGCAGTTCTGGAATTCTTCTTTCCTGTGATCAAAAAGTATGGTGAATGCTGCTGCTGTATGCCATTGAAAGGAAAGGCAGGCTTGTAAAAGCATTACAGTGTGTCCTCATCCACTTTCTTGGCCAGATGTAGCTCCTTATGAATTGTGTCTCTTCTCCAAAGTCAAAATAACCGTGGAAGGTAAACATTTTGAATGAATTTGGAAAATTGAGTTGGCCATAACTGCATATCTAAGAACATACATTAAAAAGGGCTTCCAGTTCAGGGGATGGGCCAGAGATTTAGGCAGAGTTATACCCAAATTCTAGGCCTTCTTTCTTCAGCGCTTTCTACTGCCTGTATGTGAAAAGCAGGACTCTAAGATGGCTCCTAAGATTCTCATCTTCCAGAGTTCATGCATGTGTAGTTACCTCCCCTTGAGTGTTAGCAAAACCTGTGGATTTCATGACATATTACTCCCATGATTACATTTCATCATAGGGCAAGTGAAGATTGTCCTGCTTCGGTCTAACCTAATCAGGTGAGCCCGTTAAAGGCAAGGAATGTTCTCTGGCAGTCAGAGGAAGCAGTCAGAGACCCATGCTCATGCTGGCCTGGAGAAAAGCAAATGGCCACTTTGTGAACTTCCTGTTGGGGTCACGTGGCAGGTAACTGCAAATATGCTCTGAAAGCTGAGGGTCGTTCTCAGGCAATAGTTGGCAACACTTGTGTCACACAAGCACCTGGAAATAAGGTCTGCTAACAACCAGTGATCTTGAAAGAGACCTCTGAATCTCAAATCTAAATCACAATGCCAGTGACACCTTAATTTCAGTGTGATGAGACTGAACCAAAGAAGTGAATCTGTACTGAACTCCTGACCCATAGAAACTGTAAGACAAAACATGGGCATTGTTTTAAACCACTAGATTTGGGGAAATTTGTTATAGAACAATACCAGCGAAATTCTGGTTGCCATGAATCCTGCCCTATGGATCTTCAGGCAAGCAAGCTATCAGAATTTGAAGAACTTCTTAATATATAGACAGGGTCTACTCGTGTGTGTGTGTGTGTGTGTGTGTGTATGTAATATAGGATATTGCATTTATTATATAATAAATATTTATATTTTAAAAGATGAAAAACATATTCCATGTCCTTCTTTTCTCCTGAATGACTCCTTTCCAGGATCTAGCTAATTTTATTAAGTCTCCAGTGCCTTCAGGTAGTTGTCTCATATATTTTGTCCAGAGTTTATAGTTGCTGTCTGTGGGAGGATACTTTCAGGTTCTACGCATGTTTCAAAGGTAGGATCAATCTGATTTGCTGGAGGGTTGGCTGCAGAAATGATAAAGACTAAAGTCAAAGATCATTGGATGGCTTTTGGCCAGTGTAAGTAGAAGGATGGAGTTGCTATTTACTGAAACAAAAAAAGACTATAAACATAGGAATTGTTTTTTAAAAGTGTAACACTGAGTTAACTCATCAACAAGTTAAGCAGAGAAGTAAAGAGACTCTGAAACTGAGTTCTAGGGTAATTCAAAATTTAGAGGTAAGGAGGACATAGAACCACAAGAGGAAATTACACAGCTGCTGAGAAAAGTGAAAAACAATGAGAAAATGATGACTTTAGAGCCAACTGATAAATGCTCCAGATTGCTTCCTGAATACTGTGCCAAGTGAGATGAGCATTGAAATTTAGCATTGAATTTAGCAATGGGGAGGTCTTTGCCCCCTTACCAAGAACAATTTCAGCAGGGTATTGTAAGAGAAAGGTTTATTAGGATGGTGGGAAAATAGGAAGAAGGAAGTGAGAGAGCAAATTGAGATTGCTCTTTACAGCCCTTTGTGGGTGAAGGTGAACAGAGAAGTGGAGCGTATTCTGAAGAAGAGTCCCTGAGAAGGAGTTTAGTTTGTTGTTTGTGTTTAAAATGGGGCAGCATAGAGTATGTCTGTGTGCTAGTAGGGATTAAATAATAGAGAGGGGAATTGGCTATGCAAAAACCAGAAGGAATGATTGCTGGAACTGGCCTCAGTAGAGATAGGAAAAGCTCATCCATATGAAGAAAAGGAAGGCAGATTGTGTGTGGTTAGACAGGGTGAGTGGGTAGAAGCTGGAGGTTTGAGAAGAAATGGGTAGGCACACAGTAGCCCTCTCTCTGGTCTGTGGGATTCTGAGCAGGCTAGAAATATGTAATATGTTCTCTGGCCAGTAGCAAAGATGTGCTCAGAGTGCGAGACTCATGTCTGCTTCTGTGTATGTCTTTGTATGATCTACACTCCCAGACCTTTTTTTTTTTAAAGACAGGATCTCATTAAGTTACTAATTGCCTAGACTGGGCTTGAACTCATGCTTTGCCTGCCTCAGCCTCCCAAAGTGCTGCGATTACAGGAGTGTGCCATCCTGCCCACTGGGTGTCATGAATTTTTTATTAGTATATGTTTGTAGTACATAATGATTATGGTCGTTGTGGGTCATTGTGGGGAGTAAGTGCATATCCATAATGTATCTTAGTTCTTTTTATTTTTCTTCCTCTTTCCTGCTTCTCCTTCAATCTCAAGATCCCCTTCCTATGTATCAAAGATCTATCTCTCTATTTCTTATCATTTATCTTTCTTTTGCTCTTTAGATCATTTATACTTTGGGTTTTTCATATAAGGAACTTATGCTATATTTAAGCTTGTGGGGGTTTTTTGTTTTGTTTTTTGGTACCAGGGATAGAACTCAGGACCTTGCACTTGAAAGACAGGCGGCGGAACCACTGAGCTAAATTTCCAGCCCCAAGCTTGTGTGTTTAATTTATTATACTTAACATTATAGTCTCAAGATGCATCCATTTTTCAACAAATGACAAATTGATCCTTCTTTATGGCAAGCTAGTACTCCACTATGCATAAATTCCTCATTGTCTTTATCCAGTCATCTATTAATGGATGTCTTGGCTGCTTCCAAGATTCAGCTATTGTGAGCTGTGCTGTCATAAACATGAGTGTGCATGGATCACTGTAATATGATGTCTTTAACTCTTTCAGGAAGATACCTAGAAGGGGAGTGCTTGGGTTGTGATTTTGAAGTAGGACCAATCAGGATGAATCTAATCAATGTTGGGAGTTTTTCAATGGTGTATAAAATACAAATAGAGCAAAGAAGCCAAGTGTGTAGAAGAGACTGATAAAGGGAAGTAATTGCCAATGAAATCTAAGGTGGGTAAGGGAGAAGTAAGAAAATGAGATGACAATAAAGTATTGATGAGATAAGCAAAAACTAATATAAGAAATCATAGATCTGGCAGAGAATATAAGTATCTAGTTTAGGACGTATCTGAAAATGTTCACAATTAAAAGGTTTTGCTCTTTCTAAGTGGTAAAATGAAGTGCCCATGTGGCCCAATATTGTCAGAATCTGGAGTCCAGAAGTGAGTTACAAGGAAGGAGACAGAGCACAGCGTGGTTTGATGAAGATGGAGCAGGGGAGCACAGAGGGCTCTACAGGCCTCGGCAGGGACAGGGCCTCAGGGTGCCGCTCGAGCTGACTGACCAGGCAGAGAGGAAGGACAGGGTGGTGGGAAAGAGGAAGCTAAGGAACCCAGAAACCGGGCTGTGGCAGTGACTGTGTACACGGATGTTGAAAGCCGGGAGGACGCAACCTCAGGGACTGTCACAGCGAGCCAGCTCTCAGGACGTTCCAAGCGCCGAGGACGGCGGGCTCCATGGTCTAGCTGGCGAGCCGGCGGCTTCTGAGGAAAAGCCATTTGGAAACAGCAGAGCTAAGAAGGAAGGCACTGCCCCCTGCTCACACTCGCCGCCACCGCCACCAACCCAGAGGGCCAAGGAATGTGCTGGGGAGGCAGCGCCCACCTAAGAGGGCTCTGGGCAAGCAAGTCCTCAGGGGAGGGCTGGGTAGTAAGGGAGAAACTGCTCTGCTAAGATTCTAAAGTAGCTGGTAACTGCCTCTGAATGTGAAACTGGGCTCTCTACCTCCTGGCAGTGAAAATTTCATAAAGGGAGAAATGATAGAATGTATAGTCCTTAGGATCTGACAAAGGGAGGCATATAATGTTTTTCAAGAGAGGAACATTTTCTAAAATTTCAAGAATTTTCCCTGTAGATTCATAATTATTCTTATATCCTTTGCAATTGGAACAACACTTGTATAATCAGAATACAATAAATGTTTAACCAAACTTATCTGACAAGGAGGTTTATAATGGACAGTACCTTTAATAACAAGTTTTTGTTTTTTGGGTTTCTTGGGGGGGCTACCAGGGATCAAACTCAGGTCCTTGTGCTTGCAAGGCAGGCGGCAAAACCACTGAGGTAAATCCCTGGACCCAGTAACAGTTTCTTAAGATTAAAAAAAACCTTGTCGTAAACCCTAAAATAGGGCATAGTCATGAAGTCTCTCTCTGGATCTTAGCTTTCAATCTGAGATGTCTTTTTGGTAGTGAAGCTACATAATTATAAAATTACCTTTAGCAATTCTTTGCCCACAGACACATGTGCAGTATAAGGCACTGAGATAGTTAATAGTTCTTAGTATTTGCTTTTATTCTTTCATTTTGAAGAAGAAAATATGCCATTTAAAAGCATGCAAAGCTAATTAAAGCTTTTCCACTATTTCATTATCTGAATGTAGTTGCGAATTCTGACTTAAAACTCTTTATCAGAAGAAGACTCAACATCCCTCCCGAACAGCAAATGAACATTCAATTAACACTTCAATACAAGTGTATTTTAAATAAAAAGTATACTTTATTGTTAATCTCAGCCTTTGCAAATACAAATACTCAAAACCCATAGACAGCTTTCTACTTTTTATTCTTATGGGAAAATCTCCTCTATTTTCAGGGAAGACCTGAGTTTTCCAAAGTTGTTACCAAGTTAGAAGAATGTCTCTGCAACATTGAGGTAAGAACCCTACCTTCAGAAATACGTCCATAAAAAATCCTGACTATCCAATAGTGTCAAGGAATGTAGGTGAGGTGGCATTTATGGAAAGTGACTATAATGCCCACAAGTCCATTCAGTCCTATCCTAGTCGTTAAACCCCTGGGGTAGAGCAGAATCAGCTGCTTCTACAAATTTGGAGTGAATTTGGGCTGTTCAAACAAATAATTGGACAAGCAAATGGTTACAGTCATGCTCAACTTAAAAAAAAATCTGTAAGTACAATTTTGAAAGAATGACAGATAGATTCAAAGGCAGTTATTTAAATCAACTTTTCTATACAAAATCCCTACATACAGTGAGAAGAAAGCTAAATTATTAAGTTGTTGTCCTTTAAGTTCAATGAGAATAAGAAAATCATCACAAAAATAAGGCATAAATTAATTGGAAGGCATTGTTTTCAAACCACACATATGCTGTTAAGTGCTATACACTGAAAATCAGGTTAATGGAATTTTCTTCCCTTAATTTCAAGGAGCTGTTTACTTTAATTTTCTCAATAATTGCCTTAATTTGCTACATACCTGGTCAAGAGACAGCATTTGAAAATAGGCAAAGGAACTTGAACAGGAACACTCATTCACAAACAATATATTCCTAAATGCACAGGGATGCTGCTGACAGAGGAGGAAGGATAGCATACCTATAAGTTCATGTGTCCATCTGCATAACAGTGGAAGGGGCAGAATGGGGGGAGACAGCATCAAGCTGAGATTGTACAACTGAATGTCACAGTAGGGCCATCCACAGTAGAGCCATTCCCTTCGTTCAAATAAATCTTAACTGAGAGTTACCGGAACCTGTTCTGCGAGTTGCCAGTTGCAGTCTGCAGTGAGTGGTTCTGTCCTCTGACTCTTCCCTGAATCTTCAGCAAGGAAGCCTTTCCCCTAGAAGGAGGCTTCAGTGTTTAAACATAAATGCCCACCTTCTCTTCTCTTTGCTAAACTTCTCTGATGTTTATAGCAAATGGAGAGAGTAGTAACATATTGGGTGAGGATTCAGGAGTAGCCATGGACAAGAGCATTGGCCAAAAACCTGGACTCAAGAGTTACTTTCAGGGCCTGAGCTACAAGTATCTTTTCACCGTGAATTTTTGTGTTCTCCTGGGCAAACTGGCTCTCAGCCTGGGGATATATCCCATTAGGGGGACTGAGGAAGGCTGGAGTTCCAGAGAAAGGGACAATGGTAGGATCTGCTAAACTAGCTTGTCTTGTTAAGCTGACCACATTGCTCAGTATCCTGTGTCTCAGAAAAGATGAAGGATCTTTGTGCAAAAAGAGTTTGCTGGCCCGAGTGACACTAATTCATGGGCCAGAGTCAGCTTAACGGAGCTGGAGTTGCAAAGTCCCATCTCTCTATGCCTTCTGCTCTTCAGCCTTTCAGTCAGTGGCTTAGACCAAAGTCAAGATAGAGCTCCTCAGCACATCTGAAGATACAATAAAGTCAAGAGGATAAAAAATACCTGAAAGCAAGATTCGAGGATACTCTGGAGGGTAAAGTAACAGGATATGTCAAACAAGAATGAATTTAAGAAGAATAACCAAGGAAATAATAATGAAAGTATGCAAGACTAGAGACACAGTTTAGGAGCACCATGGATGTTAGTGGGTGAGATGTTCACTGGCAGTTAGAAGGTGAAGTGCTTGTCTTGCTGCGGAATGAAAGATGTGATCATTCCTATTTGAGATGCCCAACAATATGGTACCCAGTTACATCACTGGCCCTTTTAAAGACTGTTGAAAACTGGGACACATTTTTTAGTTAAGAGTTTAGAACAGTGAAGGAGTTGAAAATCATGTAATTTGAGAATGAACTGAAGGAGCCAGGGATGCTTATAACAGAGAAAGAAAATTAGGGTGAGCCCAACAACTAATTTTAAACATCTGAAGAACTGTGGTGTAACAAAAGAATTGCCTTGTTCTCTATGGGAAAACACTTGCCAGACATAAAAGTGTGCTTCATCTTGTAAAATAGATGTATTTTTGGAAAAATGTTTAAGTCCATTTTATGTCAAGGGAATGATTTCATGTGAAGAGAATAATTTTAGGTACAATTTAAAGGAACTCTTTCACAAATCTTATTGCCCTAGGGAAAAATGGGGGAAATCTTTTGATCATCGATGAATAACTTCTAAATATCTGTTTTATGAACCTGACTTGGACCTACTGTGTTTTTGGAAAGCTGAAGCCAAGTTTAACAAGCCTAACTCTCAACATAGAACTGGGTCAAAAAGTAAATTTAGCTAGCCAGGTGTTGCTATCGGAGGCTGAAAGGAAAAGCTAGAAACAAGCTGAGAATAGAAATTAAAATACAATAAATCCTGGAATACAAAGTTAAAGTGCATATACTGTTCTATGCCTTATGCCTGTTGGAGTTATAAAAGTGACTTATGAAACAGTTTATTGAATGCTTCCTTCACTCAGCTGATGTCTCCGGCATCGAGTAACAGCAGTGGGTCTCTTTCACCTTCCTCTTCTTCTGATTGCCTGGCAAGCCAGGGAGCCCCTGGCCAGAGCACGTGGCAGCTTTACGGAGCCGTTTTGAGTTGGAGTGTGCTCTCAACGCAAGGTCCTATGCTGCCTGGCCCCAAAGGTGAGTGTCACACGCAGGCAAGAGTTGCACCACAAAACCAGATGTATGCTGCTCACGTGACCTGACCTATTAAGAGCAGGGACCCGCCCTCTGGAAGACATGGAAAGAGGAGTTTTGCATTCATCTTTCTTAAAATATCATGAATATTTTCTTCCCATTTCCAATGTCTATTGTACATTTTAGTCCTTATTTCCACTTGGGGAACAAGTTGGGGGGACAAGAAAAAAAGAGAAAATTCGAGAAGAAAATGGAAACAAAACTTTTGAACATAAGGGAGGGGGGAATGGGGAAAAAATAGAAGCAGCAAGATATATCATGTAATGGTACAAATTCCACATGATGAATGTGATCAATATGTATATCTAAAATGTACCAGTTAATGTTTTACTAAAAAAAAAATCATGAGCAAATATTAGAAATTTTATTCTTTGCTAGTATAGCTTCTCTAAGTTATAAGTAACAGGAGTTAATTCTAGCATAAAAAGAAATAGCAATTCTAAAGCAACAAAAGGAATTTATTGTACAGTTTCTAGTTATCTTAGGGAATCCAAGCAAGAATTCCTATGCAGGAGCAGGGAAACAGCTTTGAGGATCTTGGCACTAAAAGTTCAGAGTAACAAGAATTACCATAATCCAGCAATTTCTCTCCTATGAATAAACCTGCAATAATTAGAAATAAATAAACAAATACTTGTACCCAAATGTTTACAGCAACATTACTCACCATCACCAAAAAGTAGAAACAACCTCAATGTCCATCACAGGAGAACAGATAAGCAAAATGTGTTATCCATACAATTCAGCTCTCCAAAGAAATAAAGTACTGGTACATTTGACAACACAAGTGAACCTTCAAACATGCTAAGTGAAGCCAGACATGAAAGTCACACACTGTATGGCCCTTTAGCTAAGAGTATCCAGAATACAATAGGTGCCTTCATCAGATCCTGCTGCCATAACAAAATGCTGTACACCGGGTGGCTGAAACCTCAGAAATTTATTTTCTCACAGTTCTGGGGACTGAAAGTCTTCGATTAGAGCACCAGAGTGGTTGGGTTCAGGTAGGGCCCCTCTTCCTGGTTTCTCTCTGTGTCCTCACATGGTAGGAGAGATCTCTGCTATAAGTTCATCTTTGTATATGTGCTGCTGAAGCGAGCACATAAGTTCATCTTTGTACAAAGAGACTAGTTCCGTTGAGTCAAGGAAGGCCCTACCCTTATGCTCTCATTGAACTTTAGTTACTTATTTAAAGGCTCTGTCTCCACTAGAGTCACATGAGAGGTTAGGGCTGCAGCCTGAAACCTTGAATGAAAACACTCCAGTTCACAGCAATAGGTAAGTCTATAAAAACAAAACCAAAAAATCGATATTGCCAGGGGCTGAGGGGAGGAAAAAATGGAAGGGTCTTCTTAATGGGGTACTGGATTTTATTTTGAGGTGATGGACATATTTAGGAATTGGAGGTAGTAGTTGTACTAAAACACTGTAAGTGTACTAACTGCTACTGAATTTCTTCCTTTAAAATGCTTAGTTTTATATTATATGAACTTTACCTCAATGAAAATGAAAGAAAAAAAAGCAAAAGATATCAGAAAAAGAGAAAAAATATGCTTCCACAGTGAGTCCCAGTACCTAAGACAGTTTTTCTATATTATTGTAAAGGTTAGAGAAGAAATATCAATCATCTCTTGCCATGATAATTCTGTGTAATAGCCATACTAGAATTCCAGGGTATTCAGCCATGAGCATTCATTTCCAGCTCATGTATCCAATTCTGAGCCAGCTTCACTGAGAGCTACTGGTTGTGCCCAGGTCTGTTCCATGTACCCCTTGGCCTCCTCAGATGAGCACACAGAAGAACTTGCTACTGCACCGTGTTCTCACAAAGGCCACAAACTTCACATGCACGTTTGAAGCCTTTGCTCAAATTTCGTCCTTTGACTTCCCACTGGCAAGTCAAATGGCAGAGCCTAGCTGTCAACAGAGATCTCTAAAGGAAAGAACTGTAAAGTCACACACATATTGAAGGGCACAGATGGATGAAGAACAGAATAATTGATAGATACAAGAAAAATACTGTAATTCACAGTGAGTTAGCAATAACAATCTAGTCTACCAAGAGAGAATATGTGATTGGCCTTTTGGGTATTAAATAGCCATGGTAGAATTACATAGTTGGAGTAGGGGTGGTGTCATATTTCCTTAATATACACAAGGCTGTCAGGGTCCGTCTTCTAGATGAGGATCTGAGAAGTAGCTGTGAGCTTGATGGAGACCCTGGAAAGTACTGTGGACCCTCAAGTTATGACTGGCCTAACATATGAACAACTTGGGTTATGACCAGAATTTTAGTTTTAACTTACCAACAAAATCTTGAGTAATGACCTAAATGCCAGTCTCTTGTGCTTCCAAATGGTCTCAGATACAGATTGAACCCTTAAAGAGTTCTGGAAGGAGCATGACAAATCCTTTCCCATGTGAGGTTAATTTAAAAATCCTGGGCCAATGTCTAAGGACACTGATATCTGCCTGTCTACAGGAGAGAGACTTTGAAGGCTGTGTAGAGGACTCTGAACCTTCAATTGACCAACCTGAGTTACAACCAGCCCTCTCAAATGAATTGAGTTCATAAGTCAAGGGTCCACTGTCCATACTGCAACCCATGGAAAATCAGAAATGATACAAAATCTGTCTCTTTACACAGGATCCCCAGAGGATTTTTCTGTGGGCCCAGTTACACATGCACACACACACATGCAGCTACACAGATACCTATACTGTTCATCACCAGGGTAGAAGTACTTACTGTGTAGACAGTGGAGAAAGACTATCTGGAGTAGCAAGGGTCTTACACAATTTACAAATTGCTACTGTTACTTTTTTTTAAGTCAGTTATTATATTCCTGGTCTTGAAAAAGAATTGCAGCTGCAGCTATGAAGAGATGGAAGTCTGAATCGCAAGAGCATCAATCTATAGAATGTCATGAAATTAAGTATCAGCAGTTTGATTGATAAGCAGGCAAACTGGACACATCCTTTATTAGGTTTCAGTCTCCTCCGACATAATCTCATAAGAGACCCATAGGCCAATATTAGATTAGGTTTAGGCACATCATCATCTTGTAGTTCCATCTGCTCTTCTTATGCTCTATGTGTGATTCTTAAAATCAATTGTCTAAACAGTCACATTTTGATATTTCCAAAGCTAAAGTACAGTCACCCAAGGTTTGTGCATTTGAGACAGAATTAAGGGAATGAGCTTGGAATTAGACAGAGGCTCAACCTTGGCTTTGCTTTTACCAGCTCAATGACCTTGCTCAAGTTATTTATTTCTCATTTGTAAAATACATACAATAATACCAGCTCTTGGGGTTGTTATAAGAAGAGGCCTCTTCACCCAGTAATGACAATGAGTGATGGAAAGATGCCTGGAACGCTAAACAGAGAATGCGGTTCTAGTAATGTAGATGAGTCACAGAATGTGTGATAGAGCTAGAAAGTGCAAAGAAGCACAGCCAGGGGTCAAGTTGGGGATGGAGGGACCACAGCTTCCCTGGCCTTCAAGAACCTACAGAGGCAATCTGCTTCGATTACATGCACCTCCACTGGTGGAAAAACTTCAAGAATTTTAGACTTCTTCTTTTGATATTCTCATAAAACATTGTATAGCCTTCTGGCCTTTCATGACTGTTGTCAAACTCTGATAAGTGTTTTTCTACTATGTGCAGGTTTCTCTAAACAGCCTAGCACATCTCTAGGCATTCACTACAAGGGTGAAGTGAAGGTTAGTCTGATAGTTATACCATCTCTCAAGCATGCTCAGTCTTTGGATTGTTTGAAATCAATGTCAAGAACAGGAAAAGAATTTATTAAACTGTAAAATGGACCAAGAAAGGAATCATGTCTTTCTTATTCATTACTATATCCACATACCTAGCAGTGTGATTGGTATAAGATCAGTAAGTAATAAATACATGTGTAGTAGATAAAAAATAAATAATTGTTCAAATTGGCTCAATGTATGGTAATTATTCATTAGGAAAATAATCAGTGAACAGGATTTAACTGTCTTCTCAATTCTTTCCATTTAAAAAACTATCACTATTGAACATTTACTCTAAATGCTGGCACTATTTTAAACACTTTCAATAGCCATTAATTAAGCCTTAGGAGATAGTTATTCCAATTTTTAAATTAATTTTATTGGTACATTTTAGGTACACAATATAATGACATTCATCATTGGAAATTTACACCTTTACATAATCTCTCTTGTTTCTTATTTTTTCCCCATTCCCCTGCCCTCCCTTCAACCCGTCCATCCCTCCCTCTTTAAATACTTGATTTTTTTTTTTTTTTGGTACCAGGGATTGAACTTGGGTCCTTGTGCTTAGCGAGGCAGGCGCCGGAACCACTGAGCTAAATCCCCGGTGATCCCTCCCTCTTTACAAAGACTATGTTTCCATTTTTTCATTTTCTCATATCAATTACATTCTCTTCTTTCCTTTCCTGCCCCTCCCACTTCGCCTTCCCCTTTGCCCCTTTTCTTCCTATTTCATATTATCTATTATACCTTTTAGTCCTTATTTACACTTTCAGTTTCTCACATTAGAGAAACTATTTGGTATTTACACATGTGTGTCCTATTTATTTCACTTAAGAGTATCGCCTCAATGTCCATCCATTTAGCTATAAAAGTCTCTAATTTCTCATTTTTTATGGCTGAGTAGTACTCCATTTTATTTTTTAAAACCCCACATTTTCTTTATCCAGCCTCCAGTTGATGGGCAATTGGGCTGCTTCCAAGTTTTAGCCATTACAGATTGTACTGCTATGAACATGGGTGCACATGTATCACTGTGGTATGATTCTTGTAATTCTTTGGAGAAGATACCCAGCAGGGGAATAGCTGGGTCAAATGGGACTTCCAGTCCTAGTTCTTTGAGGTATCTCCATACTGATTTCCACAGTGGTTGCACCGGTCTACACTCCCACCAGCA